GTTCAAGCCTTGAACAACTGCTACTACAATTAAGAACACATGTCGCACAAAAAACGTAGCAGCAAAAAAAAATTTCTGCAGGGGATGATTCTATAGAACCGATTTCAGACCTTACGCGTCAAAATGTGATAACGTGATTGACTATACGTCTGTGCGAAGCGGTTATGAAGAAATTGTGTTTGTTCACTTCGATGCCTCAGCAGAGAAGAAAAAACGGTGGCGCGCTAAGTTGTGTTGGCGACATTTCACTGTAGGCGTTATGTATTTTAATGACTACGAGTGGGCTTGTTGCTCATCCTCAATGCAACTGCGAATGAATTGCAGAGTGCGAGGACTTTGCGGAATGGGAAAATCATAAAAACATAAATGATGTTCGATAAATAAGTGTTTCCCTCACATTCTAGAGAGGCACTGAAACAAAGACGAGCAGCAATGTAATAAAGATGCAATAATATTAGCATGTTAATATGAATTGGTCATACCTCAGTTTCCTGGTACTGGTCAAGAGGGGTCAGAGGCGGGAGGATGTCTTCTTCCATAACCGTTAGAACGCAAATATGATGAAGTTGACTAACAAAGCATGACCTGAAGGCCAAAGAAAATTTATACAAACATCTCAATCCAACTCTATGTAACAATTTTAAAATTAGGTTTACACCAGATAACAGGCTTTGTTATAATATCCATAAAAGACTGCAGAGATAAGAAAGATTAAAGTGTTTTCATTTAACCAAATCTAAAAACTGAATCTGCTCTAAAAGTAAAAAAGGTCAATGTAGGAAAGATTCAAACAAGAAAAATTAAAAATTGTATACGCCTCAATATTATATTGAAAACATGAAGAAAAATAGACAGATCAATGTTTGGATGTGAAAAATTGAGATGGGAAAAGAAAAGATGAAAAAATATAAGATTTCGCAATCGAGCAAAGCACAAAAACGTAGAAAACCTCCACAAGACCTCCCCAATTTCAAACAGAAACAAAAACCTCGAATTAAATTCTACTTTGAAACGATAAGAAAAGACTATGGATAAGGTTCCGAAGATGGCTGCAAACAGACCTGCAGCGCCGTTACTTCGGGGTCAAGCAGCACGCGACGCGGACCGCCCCGCAACGCTTTCCTCCGTCCAGTCTCTGCGTTCGAACCTCATGC